GTGTTAATCAAGTTAAATCCCAACAGCCAATCAGCAAGAAGTATAGAGGAAAGCTGCATGCCTATTGGTTGATGCCCTGCATTCCATTGTGATGACTCATGCCCAGACGTGGTAAACACGGCACACTAACACAGTAATACATTTGCTATAACACAGCCAAAAAACTCAAATAAAACCATTCTAAAAGCCTGTATCACAAAAATTTAAAAAACGCCTAGGGGTATTTGCCCACTGTACCTCCATACCAAATTTCAGGACCTTAGGCCCTAAAATGAAGAAGCTGAATCCATTTAAAAAATGGCAGGAGAAGAAGAAGAAGAAGAAGGAGGAGAAGAAACATCAGAAAAAGCAATATGGGTTCACCACCACTTCGTGGTGTGGTGAACCCATAATGATAAGCTAATGTAATCACACCAGGATGAGCGTCTAAACCTTTATGTGCTGTACTAGGTTATTCCTCGTCTCGTTTGAACCAAGTTTTAAAGAATCTTCCATTTTTAAAATACACGCTGTTTTCCGTTGGGGATTTAATTTCCTTCACACCTACATGTACCAGGCTGGTGCATGAATTGCCTATTCTATATAGCTGATTCTTGGTCTCTCTCGGCTTCTTCTTCCCTTTGTAGGCTACTAAAAGACTATGGGTAGATGCTACAGCTTCAGGGTGGCTCATGTTTATATGAGCAACCGGTTTGTTTCCTTCTGCGTGACCTTATTTTCGCAGTAGCTGGTTAATTTCGGCACAGCTGCTCGTGAACTAGTGGGTTACATCTAGAGGCCGTCTTACCCTGACTTGCAGAGTTTGTCAGACCGAGGAAGTTGGACAGCCTCCTCCACAGCTCCCGCAGGATCTCCTGATGTTCCTGAGGCGGCGTGTAACCTCTCATCACCACGAGTGCATCGTTGATGATGGCCATTAGGATGTTGATAATGACGATGAAGACGATGCACAGATAGGTGTACAGGAACAGCGGCCCAATGATCCTGCTGGCGCTTAAGATTTCATTGAATTCAAAATACCCGAGAGCACATACGAAGAGACTCTTCCCTGAGGCAGCTATCGTAGAGTATCCCTGTAAATACGTTCACACAATACATTTGTAGTCTTGCAACTAGTCTTCGTTAACCAAACTTGACTTCCGTTAAATCCTGATGGCATTGGCCGCATTGTTACTAGCACTGTTTAGTTTACTTGTTTGTTTCTCCTGGCTATAGACAAAATATAAACCATGTGATGATGGCACCCTGGGAGCCTGCCCATATTTCGGTACCAAACATTTTTGCATAGATCGGCACTTGACGAAGACACCAGTACAGCGTGGCGCTGATGATCTAAATTGTCTACCAAAAACGAAAACAATAATGCATCCACACCTGTATTTTGAGTCCAAAGACTAAATGTCCCAGCTGCACAAATGAGAGAAACAGGAAGGTGAAGTAAACGGCGAAGCCTGTAACCTCTGGCGCCATGCGCCGCATTGACGTCATCAACACAGACAACATCGGGTTGAAGCGGAGGAGGCGAAGGAACTTGAAGATGTTGATGAAGGCGACGGCGGCCACCGTCCAAACAAACGCCTGGTTCCACAAGACCGCCTGGTCGAAGCTGATGAATTTTGATGAATCTAAAAAAAATTTAAAGGAAGATCTAGAGTTGATTTGAATAATGGACAGTGGTTGTCAGAGACATCTATGAGTATGAAAGCTGTTGTCTGTCTATATGCCCCATCAATGTATGACACATATCTACAAATCTAAAAACCAATGAAAGAAAATCAATGATGCTTTACAAAAAAAATTATTACCACGATGATGGAGAAGCTTATCCAGAGTTTTCCTCGACGTTATGTAGTCTACAGCAAAAACGGCAACGGCGCCGAAACAAACCAGAATGTTGACAATCTCGAGAAGGTTCCACGGTTGCAGGCAGTAGCTTCTCCCTTGTTCCTTCATCAGTTTTACTTCCCTGTACAGCGTGTAGAGGAAACAGACCACATACAGGATGTGCAGGGCCATGAGGATGTATCCAGCCGTGCCGACGAACCGATGTAAGCGGTAGGTCCACACAGAGTGGGACGGCACCGCCCCTCCCGTGTTGAGAAACTCCACCATGTACGAGATCGTGCTGAAGAAGTTGACATTGGCGTTGTACACCGTGAACTCGACAATGACGGCGCGCGTATAGCGGTCAATCCAGCCGGCTTCCTTCAGGTCAGCGATGACTGCGAGGGCAGCAGCTTTGTTCCTGCCGACTCCGGTAACGTAACCTCCCGAGCCGTACGTGGCAATGGCTCCCATCGCGGGGAGCTCGTCACCAGACCCGGGGAGGTGGTACGTCCAGGGCGACGGCTTGGAGACATCATCCGAAGAATTGGAGGAGGCGAGGGGTGTCCATCCGGTCAGAAAGTCTCGCGTTTCCTCGTCTGAAAAGGAGTTCCCGCTGTTGCATTCCCGACTCATGTAAAGGCTGGTGTACCGCCGGGGAAAGTCACAGGGTCCTTAGAGTGGATGGATACAAAAAGAAGTTTCAAATTTATACAGATACGTTGTGAACACATATCAAGGAATTGGGCATATGGCTACATGGAAGCCTGGGTTTTTTAAACGCAGGTAAATATTCATGTCCTGCGTATTTTCTTGTCAATTCAACTCGTTTTCTCAAATTAATATCAATATCGGTTCATGAAAAAACACCATGCAAAACTGATTTGATATATTCGTATCTTTACACAGGTGGCATGAGCCACTTATATGCATCCAGTGTACTTCCAGAATGCAGAAGGACTTGTATCCTTACTTGGTTTGACTCGTATCTGCCTGTAGCGTGCAGCTCCGATCCTGTAAGAAGTGGTGTCACTGATGAAAAGCTTCCGTCTCCAGCCGAGCCTCTCACTGTTGTAATGGTTTTCCTGGAACAGACCCGGAATAAGGACGTCGCCCGCCCACGTCCAATAGTCGTCCGCTGTACTGATCTGTGAACGAAGAGTCAGACTGTTATCTCTGAAAAACCACTCACTCACGCAGACGTGCAGTATACATGTATACGTTTACGAATGTCTGGCTGTGTGCATACGTACGCGTGCACATGTGTGTGCACGCGAAACTGACCTCATTAAAATCCGACTGGAAGAGGTCTCCTATAGTGTTGTAGGCGTGGTGAGAGTAGACGTTTGTGCCACTATTCACCAACAAAAGCAGAATCATCACAAACACGAAGAACCCGGCAACCTCCTGAATCACACTGTCTGCCTTTTTTCTGGTGTCTTCTCTTTCCTGTCGCACTTTCTGTGATTTCTCCGTCTGGTCATGCTTAAGCAGAACTTGCCGCAACTGTTGTTTGGTCACTGGTGGAAAGAAAGAATGACAGGACTGCAAAATATTGTCGATATCTCAATTCAAAGACATTAATGTAATACTATGTGACCATGGGAAATTATTATCCATATTTAGCTTAACTTATCACATGAAGACTAAACAATGTGCACCGTACCTCTCGTGGTCGCCCTGTGAGATACCCAGGCAAACAGACTCTCTGATTGATTGGAATCCTCCACGTCAGCGTGTTGTAGGACGACGTCATCCCGCATCGATAACACCGCGACTTTCTTACAGACATAGGAGACCAGGGCAGAGACAGCCAGGATCTGCGGGGTAGGCATGTCAACGATATTTGCGGAAGCTACCACCAACACACGGAATTATAAGAGGAATTATAGAGTAATTATAACATTTGCAATGCCATGAAAAGAACGTCACGGACAGACAGATTTTAAGTATGAAATTTAGTTTTCTGTCTTGATCTGGTCCCTTCGAGATAATAAGGGGCTCCTCTGCACTAAAGGTTTCCTCTGGTTGCAAGTCCCAGTGACATGATGGCACGATAACAGAAAGCTCATACCTTGCATGGCTCCACAACAAGGACATCTTGAACGAAGGACATCAGGAACGTCTTCAGCCACGCGTTTGCCTTCTCAGTTCCCCATTCCAGGCTGTAGAGAATAGTAAAGAACGCCGATACGCAACAGCTGAGGACTAGGATCGACCAAGCCACGAACACAAACCAATGGGGAAGAAACCGGGAGGAAGACCGCGTTTTCAACACCATAGTCCTGATGTCTTCCTTCCCTGCGACATTCACGGCATTCTTGGCCGGTTGCTGCTTTTCTCTGCACCGGTTGAAGAGCTGGACGAGGAGCACGTTTACGGGAAGGACGCACAATGACGTCATCGTGCTGACGTATAACTCGTGAAGCGTGAAGGAGACTATCCCAAGATTCACCGCGTTATTCTGCTCCAGGCTGTCTTCCGTTCTGTACCACATGGCGTTGGCAATCATGGTGGTGTAAACGACACACAGTCCACAGGACAGGCGTTGGACCCGACTGAAATGGCTGACATTGGGACAGAACAAGATGGAGAGCCAGATGTGCTCATTTTTAAAACTGTCGACGGCCTTTGTAGTGAAAAGATGGAAGGATGACAAATCTTGTTCTGTTGCAGCTGGAAGAATCCGGCTGATTCTACCATCCCCGCGGTCCAGCGATAGCCACTGGTCACACAGGAAACTGTTTCTGTAAACCACGACAAAAAAACTTTGAATTCATGGTACTAACTGGGTACTGAGCACGGATCACGCGGATTGTTTGACAGTAGCTTGGCTAAGTTGCGAAGTTCGATTCTGGCAGACGCACAGGTCTGATTGTCAGATTGAACCATTTTTTCTTGTCCTTTTGGTTCTTACATTTCCCGCGTTGTTTTTTTGTACAACGTAGTGATATCAAATGTTTATAATTTGTACGTGCAAATAACACCATGAGCCATATGCCATCGTGTGTAGTGTGTGGTTTAATGAAGCATTGCTCAATTGTGCTTACGTTTCTCCGGATTGTAGATCTCGCACGATGACTTTATCTAACTTCCAAGCCTTGCCGCTGCCCCCCTGGTTGTCGTGCCAGATTTGAAGCCGAAGAAGGTCGCCCAGACTTTCTTCAACAGCCAGCAAGAAGATGTCCACGCCGCCGGCCTGAAAGGTCTAAAGTGGATAATGGTAGATATGCTTAAAGATAAAAAAAAAAACAATACCTACAGCAGTTTCATGTGATGCAAATCAAGAACAAATCCTTCCTACTGGTTGTCTAGAGTCAACAACCATAAAACGTCCAGCTGAATCTTTACCTCTGGGCTTTGCTTGAACACCCTGACTCCGGTACTCCCCTTATCCCCAAGCAATGCAAACCCCACATTGGACTTTGTTCCAGACCCTCTGGCGTAACTGGTGTAGACGGACATCTTGTAATAGTACCTGTCAGTCGAGCGGTTGTCGGGTAGGCCATGGACAATCAACTGTTAAAAACAAGTTGTTAAGAAACTTTAAATCTGTAGAAGGAATTTGGAATAATCAGCAAACAAAATGACCGGCGTCCCTTTCCATTAAGAGTAGAGTAAAGATCGTCATAACCTTACCTTCTTCACACCTGCTTTGTCGACCTTCCATAGAAACATGACCCCGACTAAGTACAAGGCTAATGTCGTCAGAACGGCAGCGAGGACCCCTGCGTTGTTCCCTATGTCCGTGAACTTGTCGAACACGGTGGTCAGGTCGATCGTGTTCGGTGCGGTGAAGAAGCCAGTCCCGAACGCCGTCATGTGGTTGCAGGCGCAGACAGTCGCAGTGATGGTGGAGGTAGGGTGGACCTGTCGAGACGGAACAGGTGTCATGGTTAAGTTTCATACCCTGATTTTCGACCAAGTCTTTGGTCTTCCTCGGACCAAGAAAATTTCGTTCTGTCTTCGCGTATATCAGAACACCATCTATGTTAAGACTAAACTGTTATAGGCTCTAAGTACAGTTGCCCAACCACCCTAGAAGCAGGGGTAGCGCAGTAATATGTAGTAAAGACTGCACATTTGGCAATTACGTGTTGATTACAAACTAGCACCCTAATCGACCACATGAAAGCAACGACCACATTGACACAAAGGACCATGGCCAATAGATCAGATCTTACTCTACACCCGTCGGGTAGCCAGATCTCTGCGTCCTCCGCCCAATAACGGCAGCTCAGACGCCAAACCTCCAGGCTGTAGAACTGCGTCCCATTCACGTCTGACTTGTCAGCGGGGTCCACAACAAAGACGCCGTCTTCGACTACATCTTGGTACACATCCTCCAGACCTAAGTAAATGTGAACACCACCACCTGTCATCATCATCATCATCATCATCACCATCACCATCATCACCATCATCATCACCACCACCATCATCATCACCATCATCATTATCACCATCATCATCATCACCACCACCATCATCAACATCACCACCATCATCATCATCACCATCATCATCATCACCATCACCATCATCAACATCATCATCATCATCACCATCATCATCACCATCATCATCACCACCACCACCATCATCAACATCACCATCATCATCCTCATCATCATCATCATCACCATCAACATCATCATCATCACCATCATCATCATCACCACCACCACAATCATCATCATCACCATCATCATCATCACCATCATCAACATCATCATCATCACCACCACCATCATCATCACCATCATTATCATCACCACCACCATCATCAACATCACCATCATCATCACCATCATCATCATCATCACCACCATCATCATCATCACCGCCTTCATCTCTCTCTCTCTCCATTTCTGTCTCTATAAACATATTTGTAAATAATATACAAGTAGTGTACGTTAGTAAAAAAATTCTTAACCAGCAACTTCTACTCCGACTGTGTATTTCCTGTGTGATTCCTTCCTGACACAAAAAACGCGACAGACTGAGCTCGGGTGCGCCATGTCGTGAGAATGTCGGTTTCCAGTCCTGCCACCGGAAACAGACTTCACAGTTTTTACTGTGGGCCAGGCCGCCTCCTCTCCCGAACACGGATATCCTGGAACTCCTATTCAGGGCGGTAACTTGGACGATGAACGCGTCATCTTCGTCTGAAATGTTGAACACGTGCTGCACCACGCTCTCATTTCCCGTGGAATCCACTCCGTGAAGCAGTCCGCTGGAAGGGAGATCTCCGTCGGTGGCAATGGTGATCAGGATGTCGTCTTCTGTGTCCTTGATGTCCCCAATGGACGTGGTCGATGGGATCAAGGAGACGTCGTGCACGCCAGAGTTGATGATGTTTGAGTTGTTTCCCCAGGTGAAAGGGTTGTCATGGTAACTGATGACCTGGGGAGAAACCAAGAGACGCTCGAACCATAGGCGCTAGGCCACCAAGTTTTTGTTGAAATGATCTATATTGTTTTGTAAACTATTAAAAAAATATTTACATGTTATGTTGTGTCTACTTACTCAGTCCTTTGCCTTCACAAAACGCAAAGAATGAACACGGTCCGTTGAAAGATTCCCGAGAATCATACACTGAACACATAACATCGTGTGCATGGTCCGTTGAAAGATTCCCGAGAATCATACACTCAACACATAACATCGTGTACATGGTCCGTTGAAAGATTCCCGAGAATCATACACTCAACACATAACATCGTGTACATGGTCCGTTGAAAGATTCCAGAGAATCATACACTGAACACATAACATCGTGTACACGGTCCGTTGAAAGATTCCCGAGAATCATACACTCAACACATAACATCGTGTACACGGTCCCTTGAAAGATTCCCGAGAATCATACACTCAATACAAACACCGTGAACTCAGTCTACAACCTGACGAGTGACGAGGATTCCAAAGAATCATACCGAACAAATACCGAAGTCTCCCGAAGATTGCCGAGTCCCGAACGGCGACTTCCGAACGCTTTATCTTGGTTAGGTACTAGTTATACACATATAACATATGGAATATATAGAATACATATATCATATATTGAATTAAAGTGTAAACCACAGGACAAGCGTGGAATAGACTCAATGTGTAAACCACAGGACAAGCGTGGAATAGACTCAATGTCCTATATAATAAGGTGTCACATACCTTGGTGTCAACAAACCGGGGCACAAAGCCTTTAAACACTTTTTCAGCAGAAGGAAAAGCGATGTTCACTCGTGTGCCGTTCAGCCGATGACCTGCCAGATCCTTTCCGCGCATTCTGTGTACCTGCAGGCTGAGTCTGTCGGAGTCTATGCGCACTCCGGGGCCGCCGGGTGTCAGCTGTCTTCTCAGACGGTCCGCCATGTTGTCTAGTACCTCACGACCTACTCCAACGACGGCGCGTTTCTGACAATCATATGAGAGTTTTTACCAAAGGCAGAGATAATGTAGATCATCGTGAAACGCAGTGTCTATTTCTTTCATTAATTTTTTAGCAATTCAGCTTGAAATATCATAAGACACACAGATTAGACTGACAGAATTATAAAAAAAAATCGAAACGAAAATATCTTAACATCTCATATCTAAGTAATCTACCTTTTGGTCACTTTCCTCCTTTTCCTGCCGCTCCTGATCTGCTCGTTCTTCGGGTGACAAGAAGTCATCATTCCTGGTAGGATCGTCGTCAGCCTGACCAAGTGCTTCATGGAAGAGGTGTCCAACGGAGCGTAACATATCTGAATCACAACCAAACCTGGTTACAGGAGTGTATACACAACTCACGACGGTGGACTTTTAATGACCCAAATTCGTCGCACGATTGTCGCACGATTACAAACTTAGTGAATTCTTGGAATAGTCATGCAAATGTGTACAACATTCGGCTGCCTTGTTACGGAAAGGCTTGCTATACAAATTAACTGACCAGATTTCTCAGGGCTTTTTTTAAACTCTATACTTAGGCCATGTTGATTTGATCATATGGATGACATCCTCCGGGAGCCCCAAAACTGATGCGAGCGTGCGAATAAAAAAAACGTTTTGCAAAAAAAAAAATTTCTTTTCATTATGAAATCTACGTGGTCATGAGGGTTGAGCAAATGGCACAGAATATGGTTTGGCGAATAATCTAGTCTTCAAGTTCATTTCTTTACAATTTCGTCTTTTTTCGTTTGATTTTGGCATTCTACGACATTGGTATAGTTTTTATTAATTTTTTTTGTAACTTATGGTATATTTTTGCTCATTGTGCAACTGTTTTGTACGATTTACAGTATGGTTGAAAACTTTTTTTTTGGAAACGGCCGAAAATTCATGCTCGCGCGGATGTCATCTATATAATCAAATCAACATGGCCTTAGTGCTATAAAATGGAACGACCAGATTTCCAACATCAAAACATTAACGTACATCCTATAGTACAGGACCGACATGTGCCACAACTTCATCAAATCTGCGGCTGAATCCAACCTGTTTCTTGGATCTCCATACCATCTTACCTGTACTGGTGCGCGTGATGTTTTGCGTCGTCACTTTTCTCCCAAGTACGTCGTTCAGGTTGTCCAGAACAGTGAGGTACATAAGCTTTAGATACAAACAGGGTTGAAGGAAACAACATGAAGAAGACCTTGCTTCACGATAAAACTACATAAGCTAAAGACGTTTTGCCACATTTACTGAAACATTCAAACCTGACCACTATCCATCAAACAAACGTCCAAAAAACGTCAAAGACCAAAGGTAGACAGGAAACGAACCTGTTCTTCCACTGACTTGTTACTACACTCTCTGATGACAGCTTCACATAACTGGCCAAGGACGCTTGCAGCGTTTGCGGTCTGCAGACGCTCTGATGCAATCTTCAGTGTATCCAAGGCTTGTCTGCAGGTCTCTTGCACCGAACCTGTGGCCATGTTGATGCTTGCCGGTTGCCTCACTACGGCAAGTGCTTCTACGAGCGCCACAGGATCCGCTGACGCGATGTCAGTGACATCCACGGCATCAATGGCTGGGATGGCGAGACCCTCGACCATCAGCGGCGGGAAATCAGCCTGAAACGACACGAGGTTTCGTGAGGTCCAGGACTACATGAAAATATCTCACAGTATGGATTAAATTGACATTGAGTATGATAATCATACTACCTGTAGTGTATGCTCGTCGTCAGTGCCCAGTCCGTCGGAAGGATCTGAAACAAAACATAAATTATAGCCTTTTTTGTCGGTCAGGGGTTTCCTGTCTTTCGAAAGTACTGTAAATGTTCTTACATAACAATGGGATAAACTACTTTTCAAACTACAGTTTAACTGCCCACAGCATGTCGCATTTGCGGTCAATCAACTCATAAACCAACCGTCGCCCTCGTCACCGGAACTGCTGCTGACGCCAGACTCTTGCTCGGGGTTTTCGCTTCCCCACGACTCGTATCTTTCGCTTTCCGGCGATCGTGGTACAAAGCCTCCAAACCCGTCGTCACTTAGCACCTCCACATCGGTATCGCTTTCCTGGTCTGAGTAGGAACAGGATTTTATCAAAAATAGAGAAGAGATCCTGTAGATAGATCCTGTAGATAGAGACGTATCATGGAAATGTAACACTTGTTTCTTCTCTACCTGCACCCAAGTAATATAACTTGCATTTGGCCCATGTAGGGCGTGACTATGCAATAAAGTTCATTGTCATTGTCATTTATGGATAATACCTTGTCAGCAAACTTAGAGCGAGGACTCAATGTAGAGTTTTGGCTACAATACTATTAGTATTCGTTTCTCAAACTGTACCTTCAAACGACAGTCAAGCTGACCGTACCTTGCAGGTCGCCCATGGACTCCGTATCCGGTATGGAGCTCTCTGTAGTATGCCGTGCCCGTGTGGATAACGACATAGTGACTAGAACAAACGCTGTTGTTTTTTGTTAGTTACATGAGCCTAGATTATCAAAGTTATGGCACACTTTCGATATTCAATTAATGAGTACATGATTATAAGCGAAAGTATGCGAAGTAGTAAAACACAATGCAAGATTGATATGCGTAGTTAACTATAAAGGACACACTTGCTCTCAAAGTAACATCAACAAAGATGTCAACAATGGGTAGTTATAGGAAGCATTGCTCTCACTCANCCGGAACTGCTGCTGACGCCAGACTCTTGCTCGGGGTTTTCGCTTCCCCACGACTCGTATCTTTCGCTTTCCGGCGATCGTGGTACAAAGCCTCCAAACCCGTCGTCACTTAGCACCTCCACATCGGTATCGCTTTCCTGGTCTGAGTAGGAACAGGATTTTTATCAAAATAGAGAAGAGATCCTGTAGATAGATCCTGTAGATAGAGACGTATCATGGAAATGTAACGCTTGTTTCTTCTCTACCTGCACCCAAGTAATATAACTTGCATTTGGCCCATGTAGGGCGTGACTATGCAATAAAGTTCATTGTCATTGTCATTTATGGATAATACCTTGTCAGCAAACTTAGAGCGAGGACTCAAGGTAGTGTTTTGGCTACAATACTATTACTATTCGTTTCTCAAACTGTACCTTCAAACGACAGTCAAGCTGACCGTACCTTGCAGGTCGCCCATGGACTCCGTATCCGGTATGGAGCTCTCTGTAGTATACCGTGCCCGTGTGGATAACGACATAGTGACTAGAACAAACGCTGTTGTTTTTTGTTAGATACATGAGCCTAGATTATCAAAGTTATGGCATACTTTCGGTATTCAATTAATGAGTACATGATTATAAGCGAAAGTATGCGAAGTAGTAAAACACAATGCAAGATTGATATGCGTAGTTAACTATAAAGGACACACTTGCTCTCAAAGTAACATCAACAAAGATGTCAACAATGGGTAGTTATAGGAAGCATTGCTCTCACTCACTGGTAGGTTCTGTGGATGGCACGCCTGTAGGTGCTGATGTCTGCTGCTCGGTAGCCGATTCTGGGGTGGACGAAAAACAGTGAATGCTAATGTCCATTTTGATGTGACATCATCCTTATAGCATTGTCAAGACTCCCCCCGTACAATTATAGGGTTATCAAGGGTTTGAAATACGACAAAATTTACGGAAGCTCTTGTACAGTACATAAACAGGACAATTAACAATGAACGTGATACTGTATTTTTTTTCACGGTACTTTTATTTATGTTCACGGTTTTCACTGCCACTTCTGCACCGTGAACTTATCATTGCAGTTAACAAACAAATAATTCCTGAACTTTCTTTTTCCTCCATCTGTCACCACCGTGACTAGCCTGGGTTCCAGACCCATAGCACACTAGTACTGGACACGAAGTATGCTCACTGAGATACCTTGTGTCCAGTTTGCTATGTGTCTGGAACCCAGGCTACACCGTGACTAGTTCCGTGAACATGTCCATTTTTCTCACACCGTGAAATTTTGCTACCGTGAACTAGAGCTGTGTACCGGTACGCAGTACCGATACTGTACCGGTAAAATTGATTAGGTACAGGTCCAAAATACCTAATCCCTCAGTACCGGTACTGTACCTAAACAATTTCACACCAATTTTATGCCTATTTGTGTAAATAGCTGGTTAACAATGGGTCCCTGTGTAAGGACAGTGTGTTCATGAAAACAAAAACATATATATAGCCTATATTTTATCTGAGCATTCGCCATAAACAAAGAATAAACCTTAACTATCAAGTTTATTTATGTTGTTTTTTTTGTTATTGAAGGAGTTCAGAAGAGCATATTAAAATTGGTCGAATTGTTCAGGTACAGGTTCAGGTCCGGACCTGTACCTAAACCTGTGTACCTGTACCTGTACCTAAAATTTGTTTAGGTACACAGCTCTACGTGAACATAAAGTAACCTGTTATCCAGGGAACAGCCACACCGTCACTAACGCCAGCCGGACCGACGGCATAGAGCTTGGCGACATAAGGTTGAAGAGGGATCAGCCCTGTTACATCTGTGGTTGTTAGATTGTTGCTTAGGGAAATGTTTACAGCTTCCGATGGAGCATCGGCCGGTATGAGCTCCAGCACGTACGCGGCAACCTCGCCGCCTGGTGCCGCCCACATCAGGGTAGCTGAACGGTCCGTCACGGCTACCACGTGGAAATCAAGTGGAGGGTCTACAACTGTGATGAGAGGGTAAATGTAAGAAGAATTGGAAGATTTGAAACTTTTATGAAGTATTTTATGTTTTTTGCCAGCCTGTAGAGAAACCGCTTTGAACTGCCATCCGACCTTCCTGTTAGTTTGCGGTTATATAATTTCCTCTCGCTTCTCTGTTACACTACTATTCTCAAATAACTACGGAAATGAATTAGTAACAAGTAACTAAATCTACTACTACTACTACTACGTCTTCTAGATAAGTTCCCTTGACACACGTTTTCGTTACCTACCAGACAGAGTGTATTGCTGGAGACTAGCGGCGTTACCCACAAATTCTGCAGTAATGGCTGTTATGGTCACGTTGTATTCGACCCCTGGCAGCAGCCCTCGTAAATGCACTTCCGGGCGATGCACGTACAACTGGTCGATTTCCTGGCTGTCCATCCGATGAAATGTCACTCGATACCCGATCACTAAAGACGACGTGACGTTCCAGGTGAGGTAAAACCCTTCCTCTGTCACCAGCGAGACCGTCAAGTTGTGAATCTCGTCCTTTCCTGCGTCTAGCAAATCATATGATCCAAACATCTCAATTTTGTCAACTGTGCGTGTGTGACTGGCCGATTCTGTACATTCCTTTTCCTACTGGCCTCCCGTAAGGCAATATGAATATAACAGGAAGTTGAGGACATAAAATGAGGCAAACGTTGTATCATTCGCTTCCTCCTAACCTGCGGGAGACTATTTGGCCTCCAATTTGACCCTCCTGTCAGTCTGCGGTTACACAATTTCCCCCTCACTTCCTGTCACCCAAATGGCTACGGACACATAAACACACACACACACCGAAAACAGATCAAACACAGAGGCAATAAGGTCTTACCTTGTAACATTATGGTCCGTGAGTAAGATAGGTAGATGTGGCTTCGTGGCGTCATGAGGTATATCTCCAGCAGGTATGAGACTTCCAATTCAATATCGGTGAAGTTGAACATTTCTGTGGCCCATGAAACATTCCAACTGGTTGTCAAACCGTCCCTAAGATTTGTCTGTGCAACAAACACAGAGCTACGGAAAACATTTGAAAGG